GCAGAATGGCTTCAAAATTTATAGGCGTGTAGGTTACATCATAGAGAACTCACAAAAAAAAATTCAGCAAAAAAACTTATTTTTAGGCCCCGAAAAAAAAATTGGCGGGGGCCGAACCTGGAGGTGTTCGGCCCCTCCGAACGGGACCCCGAACGCCCGAACGTTCGGGGGCCAGCCCGGGGACCCCGGTCAGGTAACCCTGATTATAATAATATTACTAAATATTATTATTATGAGTTTATGAGGGCATTGACGGGGTAATTCTGTACAGGCACCTTTGATTTTCTGGCAGGCTTTTTTTCTGATAAGCTTGCCACCAACTACCGTCTTCCCCCGAACATAACGCACCCTTAAAATGAATGTATACAAGTTATATTTCCGGCCATATACAGCCAAAATGAGGTGCGTTGTGTTCGGGGGAAGACGGTAGGAATGGGAACTCAGTAGGTTCGGTTTCTGCAGGGCCTGCAGGCTATTGTGTCTGTAAGCTGAGCTGGCTGATGCTGTCAGTCAGTAGTCCGGGTCCAATTGTGAGGTTGGGGGCCTCGGTTTGAATTATAATGAATTGTAAGAAGTTCAAGGGAAAAAAAATAAAATATCCGCAAGGGTAAGAATGTGCCTACTACCTACCCGGGGACGTTACCTGACCACTCGCCACGTCCTGCCCCGTTTCAACGTCCAGATACGCACTCCGACAGTGACATTCTGTTCCGGTTCGAACGAGAACGGGACCCACTTAGTTTTTTTTTTTTTTTTTTTTTTTTTTCCCTTAGGTCTTTTGTTGCTCTCAGTGTTCCTCGTCTTTTTTCTTGCCTTTGAAGCTGGCCATAATTGCTGTAAGATGCGTTCAGGAAAATGGGGCCCCTTGTTTCTCTCTCTTGGCTACTTTTTTGGTGATGGTTTTGGGGAAATGGGCCCCTGTGTGGCCAGAGGAGAAGTGGGGGTGTTGAAACAGAATGCGAATATCGTTATGATAAAAAAAAAGAAAAAAAACGAAAAAAAAACTAGGCTGCCAGCCGGGGCGTTCGGGTCCCGGGKGGCCAGCCCGTGCAAGGACCAGGGAAGGTCCCAGCAAAAAAAAAAAAAACTCCAAAAAATCCAGAAAAAAATTATGCACACATTTTTTTTTTCCACGCGAAATAGGCCCAGCGTCCCATGAACTCGTCCCTGTCTCCCACTACTGCCTGCCTTTCTGGCCCCCCCTTTCCACTGCCTGCCTCATCGACAGCTCTGTACCATTGCCATCCTTCGTGGGCCCACACCTTTGTCCTCAACAGTGAGAAGAAGGCAATGAAGCCTAGATGGAGGAGAACGATGTTCTTGAGAGAATCCAATACTCTCTCGTTTTGGTGTGTGCGTGTGTGTGTGTGTGTGTGCGGTTGTGT